TTATGATGGTTTAGTTTAGTGCGGTTGAGTTCTGAGTGAATGATGATGAAAAAGCCCAGGAGCATCCATTGCCCAGCGTGGTTGGAGACTGCATGATTTGAAAATGGGCTACTGCATGATAGTTGATCCAAGTTTCATTCAGACATCCAGGATTTGGATCAACCGGATATCAATCGTTCTTGGACCAGTAAATTGATAAATTGGATGGTTTGCAACTGATGATGTCAGTATGTCCTATGAACCGGAGAATCTATCGGAGCATCTAAGCCATACATCATTGTGGGTAGATTTACCAACGCACCAAGGGGGATAAGAACCAAAACGCAGATTGAAATCGCAATGAACTAACATACAAAATAAGGATCGCAAACCCCGGAAGCGTCGGCTCTCCCATGGAAGATCTAATGTGGAACCCCAAAATGGACACATCTTTAGTGAATATTTGAGATGATCATCACATGATCATCACATGACCACCATTATTTCAAAGCTGATGGGGGGAGTCCATTAGCCACTTCCAAAAAGATGTGGATGGCTCACATAGCACCCTGAGAGCCAAGATGGAACCCCAAAAATGGCCATGTGCAATGTTAAATTCAATGGGACACATCGGCAAATTATGTCTAAAGAAAAAACACATTTCTTGCAAGAATATAATATGTTACAATTCAGGCATTGCATCTTGACGCGAACAGCAATTCACTGTGAGGATCTAAGGGAAATGTCAACAGGAAACCGTGGACATGATGTCTTTTGCAATCCATCACTACGCGTCTCCTGTAATTTGTGGCAATTCTGTGGTGATTTTTTATGGGTTCATTGGATTTCCAGTGGCAATCGTTCAGTTTCATTCCGTTCAGTTTCAGTTTCGTTCTGGTTTTGGCTGGTTGGCATTGGGTTTTCGTTGCAGGACGCAATTTACGACCATAGTTTTGGATAAGTTTATGGATACCTCAATGGATAACCAGTCGTTTGGCGAAAAAACCACTCTCCAGTCGCACCATCCCAGAGGGCGGTAGTCGTTCGTCTCAAATTTGGGGCCCAAGCTGGGGAGGTGGGGGTGGTTGATTTCAGTGGCGGAAAAAGAATCCAGATTACTCGGTCATCCATAAGCAAAAGCTGTTGCGTTATTCTTTTGCCATTAAAAGATTTCATGGGGGTTCCATAAATGGTGGTACCCCAAATTGGATGGTTTATGAGGGAAAATCCTATTAACATGGATTATTTGGAGGTACCTCCATTTATGGAAACCCCATATGGAATGATATACACATTTAATGTGGTTCCCCTTTTTCGCATGGTCTTCAAGGCTCAACTCAAGCTAAGGGAACCAAAAAAGCATGTCACGAAGCAACTCATGGAGCTTTGAATCATTGAAAAACCTTCATGTACCGGGGATGATTCCCTTGCAGCTGGTTAAGTGGATTATATATTTACATACACATATTTATATATATATGCATATATATATGTATATATATATTTGCATATATAATCATATATACATTAATATATATATATATAACTATATAACTATATAACTATATATATATATATATACTGTATATACTAATAATATATATATATACATACTGATACATATGTATACATATCTAGATAGTATATGATAGTATCACTCACAATATTCCTTTTTCAGTTGCAAGCAGATAGGACTGTAACTCACTTACTTGCCATTGACTCACTTCACGGATTATCCCTTTGTGGTTTCATCAATGGGACAGCTTCCAACTGCTCCCGCCAAATCTCTACAGTACCGAAGAAGGCCCTACCTGTCATTTCGCCTCCTGACTTTAGTTCCAAAAATCGCAGCGCAGCTGAGGGGAAAGATGGGAAAGTGTTGCGACGTTTGTGGACAATTTTGTAGCGTTTCCCATCGACTTCATGAGAAGTGATGCTCACTGGGGTGATCCCTTGAAACTATCCCAGGATGGGATTGGCTGAAAAAAGATGGTAAACCCAGCAATGAACGGGCACCAATATTCACCAATAAAGGGATGGCAAAAATCATTCGAAAATGGTATAATATGGTATATGGGTTTATCAAGTTTCGGATATATGTTTAACGATCCAAACCTCTGGGGTGGAGTCCATGTCGAATCTATCCATGCTGTAAATACATCAAGTGGAATGGTTCATTTGGACATTGCCATCTCATAGTTATCCATTCGCTTCGAATTCCTGCACTTATCAACAAACCAGTAGAAACACTGCTCAAGTGGGAAAACAAAAACAGCGACGACATTTATTTTACCCTCTGGTAAACAGCCACATAACTATGGAAAATCACCATTTTCAATGGGTAAATCCACTATAAATGGTCATTTTCAATAGCTACGTGAAATTACCAGAGGGTAACTGTATATTTCACCCAGGAGTTGAAGGAGTCCAGGTGTCCAAAGCTAGAGGAAACCATGGGATGATCAGGTGCCGCAGGTGCCTTTGAGGTTTTTTGCCCCCGACTTCGAGTCGCGTTGCCCTGGGACCTTTTCGCTTCAAGCCATGGTTCCGCATTTGTACATGACATATCTGGACCGGTCCCAAGAACCATGGAATGTTGATGGCATTTGTGATTCATTATGATATAAATACACATTGAACAAACGAAAATGTCAAGAAATATATCCAAATATTGATAAAGATGTGCCGATATGCTTTTTTTTGGTTGCGGTACTTGAGTGACCCGAAATACATCACTTTTTTCGTATTAGGTTCTCAGAGGGCCATCTCTTACAAGCAGCATCTTTTAGGGGTGAAACTCTCCGTTGAAGCACTGGCCTTTAGGCAAGTAAGTCTTGTCTAGACTGACTAGCTGGTTGGTGGTTTGGAACATGAATTTTATGACTTTCCATTCAGTTGGGAATGTCATAATCCCAACTGACGAACTCATATTTTTCAGAGGGGTAGGTATACCACCAACCAGCTAGCTTCTAAGCTTCTAATTTCTGGATACCCTGACTTGGATGTGGCAACCCCTTCAACAGTATGGGTCAAATCTTACAGCAAGACGCATAAGACCACGGATTCTTGGCTGATTTAAAATTTTCAGTACAGGATGGCCCCCCCCAGTTATAAGTGGGTCTATAAACCATAATAAGCCCCATTAACTATAGTTATATCCATAAACCATAGAATTCAGCCACTTTTTTCAGGCAACGGTTCACGCTATCGACTGGGGTCCCCATCCTGTATTTCTGACCCATACCCCAGACCCGGATGACCTGATGACGTCACAAAAGGACGTCGCAACATGATGGGAATTGGATTAGGGTAACTATCCCAAAATCGTCAGGTTAGTGGATTATTGACATCGCTATATACAGATGTAAATCCAGTTGTATTCAGATTGTTTCAAATGAATAAATGATATAATTATATATATATATATACACATTATATTATGATTATATATAGTATATATATATATTCCACTTATATTCCATTAAGTCCAGCCAAATTATCCAGCCACTGCTGATCTCCCTGAAGTTGCGGACATGGCAGGCGCCCTGGCCGCTGGCATTCCGCTGGTTTGAACTTTGAATGTATGAAATGCAGGGACATTTATCCCACACCATCATCCAGAATTTGATTTCCTCAGATGAGGAACTTGACCAACAAACATGGGATGTTGCTCGACCCATGGTTGGGAGAATGTTCTACAATGTTCGATATGTCTTTAGTTTTTTTTAGGAATACTGAACATGATTTGGTATTTGGAAATACAGATTTGAATCCAACCGGATTAGGGTTGAACATGGACCCAGCCAAAATGAGAGACTTGACCGACAAAATGGGATATCATATATGCCATGGTCAAGTGGTTTGGTTAAATTGCCGGGTGACTTGTGGGAATGCAAAACTCAATCCATCGTCGGACCATGTTGGACCATGGCACATGGGATATCACATGGGATATCACATGGGATATCATGATACACAAGCAACGTAAGATGACGGATGTATTTGAAGATAAGGTCTTCCCCTAAATGACCATGTTGAAGGGAACAGGACTGCGATGGACTGCGATCTGGGGGTATCCTATTGTCATACAACCCTTTGTATCATGGATAACCATCCAACAGTGGATGACTAGATATTGAAAATACCCTCTGGTTATTTAACATAGCCATGGAACATGGCCCATTTGTAGATGGCTCACCTATTCAAAATGGTGATTTTCCATGGCTATGTTAGTCATAACCAGATGGTATTTGAACATTTGACCATTTTGTGAGCACATTGGTACCCCATGTATCTCCATGTGCCCTTTCTCGGAGTGGTTCAACATGGTTCAAGCAGGGCTCAGCTCAGTGGCTGGGATCATGGCTGAGACACCCAGCATTGGTCGACGATTTTCCCATCGGGCATTTCGCAGCCATGTTTGATGACACGGGGCCCGGTATATCCCAATGATTCTTTCAGCGATTTTCTCGATTCTCCCATTATATATTATTAATATTTATTAATTCTCTTTAACTATTATCCCGGATTGATATTAATCCAATTATTATCCCATTCGTCAACCCCTATGAGTTTAGCAACGCATCGTCATCGCTTCAGGTGCGCCATCCAAAATTCAGGTGGGACGCTGAGATCCACCAAAAATGTTGGCTGAATCAATGGCTGTTGATGTGGAAAAAAAGGGGCACATGATTCAGGTGATGTGATCTGGTTGGTGGTTAATCCCAACTGACTAAAGGGCTAGGTATACCACTAAGCAGCAGCTGATGTGATGATGTTCCGCATGGGATTTATGTGATGATTTGAGGGAGCCGAACATCTCGAACAAAAAACGGACGGCAATGAAGCCATGGGTAACCGAAACCGTGGAATGGCAACTTGTCCCATGAAGTCTTGTCATTGGATTTTCCAATCCATACCATGTCTTGGGACAAAACTAGGTGTTGTATGGTTTTGTATCACTTAGGATGGCTAAGACTCAAAAAATCTCGAAACATCTCCAAACATCGCCCAAATCTGCAACTTGGTCTCAAAAACTTGACCAGTTGACTCAGTTGACCCCCAGCTTCCCTGTAAAACCTCGGCCATATCGCCCCATCTCAGCCATTTAGAGAGCTTCCTACGGCGGCCAAAAAAACGATCAGCACCAATCATGGCCGAGGACAATAAGGAAATGACTGCGATCGCCTACCAGGCTGCCCGGGAGAACTTCGAAGCCTTGATGGAGGGCTTGGGGCAGAGCGATGTAGAGATGATGCCGTTCGAGTTCACGGATGCTGAGAGGCGCTGGGGTGGCCCTAGAAACATCGCGATTTTTGATGGTTTTAGATGGGCTTAGAGAATCTAGAAACCAATATTGATTTTTTTTTTTTTAACATGTTTGTTTAGATGTGATCATTCCATTTTTATGGGGTTATGTCACTGACTTATAACTGGTAAAGGGCCACAACTGTGAGGGGACTGGTGGAGATAGGGAAGAAATTAGGGGTATACACAAAAATTGACGTGTGAATGGAAATAAAAGGACCGGATAACCCCACATGTCAAGCCTTTACGTATGTAAGATTTTAATGTGAACTTCGGGGAGGTGTGAGAAGTGAGGTGTGAGAAGTGGACTTGTGATGTCAGGTGTGAGAAGTGGAGCTGTGATGAGTTCTGATGTGATAAGTGAGGTGTGAGAAGGGGTGTGAGAAGTGGAGCTGTGATGGGATAAGTTGTGATAAGGTGTGATGAGAAGTTGCGATGTGATAAGGGAGCTGTGAGAAGTGAGGTGTGAGAAGTGGAACTGTGATGAGTTGGGATGTGATAAGTTGTGATGAGTTGTGATGAGAAGTGGACCTGTCAGAAGTGGAGCTGTGAGGATTTGTGATGAGCAGTGGAGCTCTCTGTATTGCGCCTGCCACGCCAGGGTGCCTGTGTACGGCTGGCTGCCAGGCAAAAGGCAGCCGCGGGCCAGCGGCGGCCACCGCGCCACAGCTCCGCCAGAAAGCTTTGTGTACTGCGCATGCCACGCAAAAGGTCTGTGCGGAGGCTGAAGTGCGGACGCTCTGTGTACTGTGCGTGCCAGGCAAAAGGCAGCCGCGGGCCAGCGGCGGCCACCGCGCCGCAGCTCCGCCAGAAAGCTCTACTGCGCCTGCCACGCAAAAGGTCTGTGCGGAGGCTCTGTGTACTGCGCCTGCCAGGCAAAAGGCAGCCGCGGGCCAGCGGCGGCCACCGCGCCACAGCCCCGCCAGGAAGCTCTGTGTACTGCGCCTGCCAGGCAAAAGGCAGCCGCGGGCCAGCGGCGGCCACCGCGCCGCAGCTCCTCCAGGAGGCACCTGCCAGGCAAAAGGCAGCCGCGGGCCAGCGGCGGCCACCGCGCCGCAGCTCCGCCAGGAAGCTCTGGGTACTGCGCCTGCCAGGCAAAAGGCAGCCGCGGGCCAGCGGCGGCCACCGCGCCGCAGCTCCTCCAGAAAGCTTTACTGCGCCTGCCACGCAAAAGGTCTGTGCGGAGGCTCTGCATGTGTACTGCGCCTGCCAGGCAAAAGGCAGCCGCGGGCCAGTGGCGGCCACCGCGCCGCAGCTCCTCCAGGAGGCTCTGTGTACTGCGCCTGCCAGGCAAAAGGCAGCCGCAGTGAGTGAGTGAGTGAGTGAGTCAGTCAGTCAGTCAGTCAGTCAGTGAGTGAGTGAGTGAGTTGGTGAGTGAGTGAGTGAGTGAGTGAGTGAGTGAGTGAGTGAGTGAGTGAGAGTAAGTGAGTGAGTGAGTGAGAAGTGTGAGTGAGTCAGTGAATGAGTGAGTGAACAGGAGGCGGCGGAGGGCGAGGCGGCGGCGGAGGCGGCGGAAGCCCCGGCGGGATGCAAGCGAAAAACAAGAACCCCACACAGTGATGTGGGGAACAAATGATAAGAAACCAATGGGATTTGTGGTCGCCGATATTCAGACAAACCCAAATTTTGCATTAGTGGACACATCTGGCTGGCACAACTGTGAGCAATAGCAATACGATGAGATATGTTGAAGGGTGGATGGGGGCGCGGGGATTCGTCCATGTCATTTGCCCATCCCGGTGTCATGATTTAAAGATAGAGTACCCGCTGACCACGTTGCCTTGGTGATTCATTCAAGATGTTGTTCCCTATCCATGTTCCCACAAGTATCTTAAGTGATCTTAAGTGACTATAAAAAAGGCGTTTCAGGGGAATGGACCGAGATGAAGCCACCAAGCGGATCCATTGTTGGATGGTTTTGAACACCCTCTGGTAATCTGAAATCTCCTTTCGGAGCATGGGATTTCACAAAACGCTAGCCACGTTTGGATGACACGTTTGGGGGTAGTTTGACTTGAGCTGCAGGTTGGAAGCGGCGGTCAACGGCTCTGGGACCTGTGTGTTCCTGGTCCTCATTGGTGGTACGGATGTGGATTTGACCAAATTGGAGACTTGGTCGCAAAAATGGTGGATGTATCTAAAAATGCTGATTTAACCATGAAACTATATAATGCCAACACCGGATTAATAACCCCCCCCCAAGAAGGTAGGATGTACCTAGAAAATCACCCCTTAATAATAAGCAACTCTGAACCATAAAACTTTGGATATGGCTTACGTCAATTAGATCTTAATAGAATTCCATTGGATTTGTTAAAATTTCATGGATCAGAAAGGTGGTTGATTAATCAGGGGCAAACCATGGTTATTATTACTGGGGGACATGGGCTCATGGGGGGTACCCTTTGGGAGCTATCCAAACTGATGTTTTTTATAAATATTTTAATTAGAAATCGATCATTTGGGGAATAGTTGTTTTTTGAAATTTTCAATGATCAACTTAAACCTGAAGTATAACAATGATGATTAAAAAAAAGTAAAAAACAAATGGAAATAAATAGAATTGGAAATAAAAAATGTTGGATAAAAAATGGATTTCCGAAGTGGTGGTTGATTAATCGGGGGTAGGCCCACCGGTTTATTAATCTGTGGGGACCACCCGTTTTTAAATTACATTTTTTTTTTGGGCAATGGTGGTTGATTAATCCGGGGGGGATTATTAATCCTCACTTGACATTATTAAACTTATGGTTCGTTAGTGGTGATGATATGTTTTTGTGTGATCACCAGATGATTGATCATCAGATTGCTTAATGATAAACCCAACATAATAAACCATCCCCAAAAGATTATGTCAGGTTTATGACTGGGTAAACACCACATTAGGCCCTTATTTCAAGTCGTCGCCACGGTAATAGGAAGACTCATGATTCACCCATGGATTTACCATCTGGTTATTTAACATAGCCATGGAAAGATCCACCATGTTTAATAGGTAAACCATCTATTTCTATGGGCCATCTATACCATGGCTATGTTAGTCATAACCAGAGGGTAGGCATTTGTTATCATTTTTTGGGGTACCCCATTTTCAGACGACCACGACCACATTAGTCGACTGACCAAACTGGCCCTTAAGGAGAACAAGTTGGTCGTCCAAGAACCGCGTTCGGAGGAGGAAAACTACGAATACACTCACAGCTTCGTGATTATCAAGACCGAAGAAGAAGGAGCGGCTGTGAAAAATCTCATTGGGATTTCACCATTTTCACCCGCCAACTGTGCCAAGAACATGGGAATTTCACCAAACATATATATATATATATATTAGCTTTTTTTAAAGCCTCGTAAACAATGCTTTTAAAGCTCCAAGAGACGCGGTGAACGTAGGGGGTACGAGTGGCTAACGGACGTGGTGACGAACGTAAGGCGAACGAGTGAATGGACGAGTGCACGTGTGAGCGAACGAGTGAACGGACGTGTGCGTACAAGTGGACGGACGTGTGTGCGTACGTGCGTGCGTTTGCACGTTCACTGGCCGCGTGCTCGCGTACGTACGAAAATAAGGTCGACTGGAGTCGACCTTATTTCTGTACGTGCAAAGCGCTACAATACTAAATCAATACTAAAGAGGCAGGGTCGTGCAAAAATACTTCGATACTTGGGACTCTGGAACATATTGGGATAGAATGGAAGAACCAATTCGTTTTGTTCGTCGAGCGATAGCTGGTTTTTCACCTCTCAAGGTGGATGGACGGAGGAATCCACTATATGATTCATTGATTCGACGAAGTGAATGTCAGACATGTCACGCGACATGTATGTCAGACGACATGTTTGATCCTTTGGCAAGAAAATCCAGAGATGCATGACTTAATTATGTAGACTCATATATATATATATATATATATATATGTAAGTGTTTCATAGTTTTTCAACATTTGAGGCATGAGTGATCGCTTGATGGACCTGATTTGTGTCTTGGGTCCCGGGTCAAATTGAGATCCGCTGGGATGATCACCATCAAACATCAAAGGTCAGGGGGATGATCACGCTTGAATGTATACTATATATATATATAGAGGTACTGTACCTTTTAAAACCATCTTTTTGGGAAAAAAAACCTACAAGCCCTTACATGTGCCTTATATTACTTATATGTGGTAGGTACCTCCAATTTTTATCGGTACCTGAAATTTTCGCGCTAGGAGCGCAGTGCTTTCAACAATACCCCGGAGGGATGGATAGCGACAAGGAATGCTTTTCCATCGATTGTGACTTCTTTGATGCTCGATGGATTCGGGGTTAGACGGTTAGCCCCCGACCTGTTGGGCTGTTGGGATGGGTAGGGCCGCTAGGGCCTAAGAGCTTCCCGGGAACTGCTTTGGCTTGAGGGGATCCTTTGCTGTGTGTGTTTAAACCTGTTGTGTACACTTTCGTTTTATTTGTTTGCTTGGTTTTTGTTGGCAAACGATTGGTTTGTTAAATTCCACATACACACACTCCTGAACATCGCTAAAACATATGGGTGTGTCTGAATAAAAAAATGGTACCCCATGATACAGTCGTCAATCATCATTATCCCTATTAGATCCTACAGGGTCACGGTGGTAACTTGTGCCGCGGTTGTCTTCTTGTGCTGCAAACGGTGTGCCGTTGGGAAGTCCATGATATACATGTCATTCTTACTGGATGAATCAATTGTTTGTGGCATTGTGATTTTTCAAACACCTTGCAGGAGCACACATGTTTTTGACGCATATTCTTTTTGAGAGAGAAATTCATGGGGATGGCTTCTCAATAGCTTGGCTCACACAGAAGAGAGACCAGTAGAAGAGAAGAGTAGAGAAGAGAATTGAATTGAAGAGTAGAAGTGAGTAGAGAGGCGTACAGCAGAGAAGGGAAGAGCAGAAGAGATCCCTGCTGCCTTGCCCTTGATCTCGTACAGATCTCGTAAAGACCTCGTAAGGATCTCGTAAAAATCACGCTGTCAAGCGGTACCTTGAATATCTCAGTGCCATTGTGCTGTGTTGTTCAGTGCTGGAATGTTCCTGGTGTGCCAATGGGAAAAGCGTTTTGTGAGTATATTTTTCCCAGGGTAGGAATGAGAGTCCGCCAATGAGAATGACATGTAGAACTCCTGGTCTTCTAAAGGTCAAGTTGATGGTGTGCCATGCGGTTTACAACGCTTTGTGTCAGGTTTAAGTCAGATAAAAGCGGTACAAAGCGTTGCAAGTCCGCATAGGATTTTCATGAAAACAATGTGCACATATATGGATAGGTGTCGGTGTGCCGTGGTGATTTGGCTATGGCACAAGTTCTTTAGTTGTGGGGTAAGCTGTGTGCCATGTGGTGGAGTAAGATTATAGGTTGTGGTGTAAGTTACCACCCGTACTCGTATTAGCCATTTGGAGGTATGCCCCCTTTTCAGACACACCCAAATAGTTGAGGTTGGTTATATATCCCATTATATCATATTATATCCCCATGAAATCCATATAAAACAATTTAACTATTATTCATTCATGATTATATACATAATATATATATATATATATATGTGTGTGCATAGTATAGATTATTATAGTACTGTATATGAAAAATATATGTACATGCACATATTATGGATTGTTACAGTATACTAAATAAATAAATAGATAATATATATATATGCAGATATTTTAGATTATTATAGTATATTAAATATGTACATGCACAAAGCATAGATTATTTTAGTATATACATTCATATATATATATATGTATATATATACACGGTAGAATTCATATGCCGACTTTGGCGCTGAAGGGATCTTTCCAAGCCATGACTTTTCTCCAAGGACGGCTTGCAACGTCTGGTGGCCCATGGCTGCGTCGTCCCTAAAACCTTCCAGCGTCTCTTCTGTGGATCGTTGGAGCCAAACCCATACGTATTACCCGCCTATGATCGAATGATCATGAAAGGCGTCGGCTTTTGATCTGGGTTTGCAACATGAACTGGAAGCGAAAATGGGGGACCCACGAAAAGTTATCCTGATTACCCTGATGCCAAAGTGCCACGGCAATTTCATGTACTTTGTGGTGGAATTAGGGCACATGGATGCAGAGGGGTGATTCCTTCCCCCTGGATTTAGGGGCACCCTACTTTCAGACAAACCCATATCTTTCGATCATTGGCTTGGTCCAAAAATGCAGGAGCCCCAGCAGAAATCCTAAGATGTTGCCGAAAAAACATTGAAGGTACTCGTACATTGTTACATGTACCCCATGTAGGTCCATGTAGTGTAGGGCCTTTTTTGGGGGTCCCAAGCCTTCTGCCTGGGGTTTTTTCTTCATTTTTGGACGGATCCAAATTGATCCTTTGAGTCGCCACTGCCACCTGGCGGCAAAAGAATCGTTTTAGACGGTTTTGCCCGTCTCGCACATCCCCTGGAGGCATTCAAAAGCTGTGCGCGTTTGCAGGTGAATCTTTGAATTTCGTTGATAGCATCTCTCTTTTCAAGAATATCAGATATATCATGATGTATAATGATATATCATGATATATCATGATATATATATATATATATATATATATTTACGTACATACATACATACATACGTACGTACATACATACGTACATACATACATACATACATACATACATACACACACATATATATATATATATTCATACATATATTGAGCCTGATATATCATATATCTAGCTGGCAAAAACATGTCAGTTTATTTCATTCTAAGATATGTTTAGCGATGAGGAACCCATGGGGATTAGCTCGCCATGACCAGATGTGACGGCGCTGCTTGTGGCGGGTCATGGTGAACCTTAAGGCGGCGGCAGGAGGTGAAGAAATGTGTCAAAATTCGGAATGGGTCCTTCACTTTCATCCCATAACTCGAGTTTATATATTTGTATTTATATATATATGTATATATGTGTACTTTATATATATAAATGTACATGTATTAGGCATTGGTTTATAATTGCATGATATATTCCAATTGCTTTATAAGCGAACCATGGCGTATTAGCAATCAAAAATGTAAAAACGGATGATATTATTGGGATATTATCCTTAAATCAACCATGCGATGCTTGTGTATGTTCATGTGAAAAATGATAAAACATGGTGATTGAAGCAAGCTGATTTGCCCAGAGTAGATTAACACAGATGTGAGCAAAAACAACGGTTTCCTTTTGAAACTGATCTACTTTCATGGTGGGATTTCAACATCTATGTTTGGTTTTCAGACCAACCAAATTGGTTGGTGATTGAACTAATGTGGGTAAAACAATAGTAAGCCATCCCCCAAGTCACCATAAACAAGTGGTGCAAACCATTCCCAGTCATGGGTGGTTTATGGCATTGTTTTACCGTTTTACCCACATTATATTGAAACATCGACTTTTTGGGTGAATAGTATTGAACTATACCAATACATGCTTCGTATCTCTTTGACTTGTTGTTTCCATCTCAACAGTCTAGCAACGTTAGAAACCTGTTGGAAAATCCCAACATACTGTAACCCTCTGTCATTCTCCTTTAATTATCAACCAATCGTCATTTATTTATCAATTATATCCCCATCATCTTGCATGGTTTAAACCCCGATAATCACAAAAAATGATGATGAGATCCCGGTCAAAACACTAGTTTCTATTGTTGAAGGTAGATCGCGTTCTATTCCAATGATATCCCCATATGTTTGATGGTAGATAAACATGTACCCTTCCATTTTCGAACCATACCTACAGAATCTCAGGGACTGACCATATCATAGAGTCTACTCGTTGTTGAGGAAAGTGTCATGAATCCGGTTCCCCCAATGAAAAACAAACGTATTGGTAATAAAAACGTTTCAGTATTGGACATAATATATACATATATAATAATATATACATATATAATAATATATATATATATATACACATATAATTATATATATATATACACATATAATTATATATATATGTATATGTATCTCTTGGGGCCCCAAAAATGGGGAAGCTTCTTCTGCTTGGCGGTGACGAACATGACTTTTGCATCCCTGAGGAATTTTGAATCTCCTTCAGCCCCACTAAATAATATCGACCTAGTTTTGGGAGGATGTCAATCAGAAACCCGGCTTCAAAAGCACTGGTTTTTTCCGACGTAGATGCTTTTGGGCCCATGGATATTTTCTTACAATGTGAGGCCCCCAAGATAGCTAAGTTGGTTTCTAACTCCAATAACTATGGTTTATGGTACTTATAACTATAGTTACTGGGGCTTATAAACCAACTTATAACTGGGGGACCTCACATTGTACATTCCTTTTTCATTGATTCAAAGTGACAGTTTTCCGCAAGCAAAACTGAGCGCTGAATTGCATTGCAGTTTCTCTGACATCACCCCGATGCATCCCCTTTTCCTTCTTCCAGGCGCTGCAGGGAAACATGGCCATTGAAAAAGCCTGCGCGATGTCGAGTTTCGGAGCTGATTTCAAAGGATTCATGAAAAGATGGGCCATTTGGGGCTGGCGTGGCAAACTTGAAGCTGTAAGATATCACGTAACTATCTGCAATGAATGTTGAAAAAACATAAATCATAAAGCTATAGTTAAAACTAAGACAAAACGCATCTGTGGCAACTTTATCATTGGCAACATTTGCTACTATTCCGAGATAGCCAGTGATACACTGCAGGGACTTAGAATCTGCTACCAACCACTTGGTCAGCATATCCTGGTGATGACTACCACACACCCTTTCTGGATCTATGTTTGAGACAACATCATATATCCATATACAATGTCATATATATATATATACATATAAATATATGTATATTTAAAGACAACAGTTATATCAGAGATAAATTATACTGTATCTTTGTTTCACAGCAACAACCTATTGAAATCGAGACTTCGAGATTTCGTGTTGGCATAAGATGGTAAGTAGGTACACACTCTTTCTGGTGGCACCCAGAAATCTGGATGCTTCATGGGGGCGATAGGGATTTCACAGCCAATTTCACAGCAAGATTAGATTGCTGAATTCTTCAACTGTTGGATATTTCCTGGCTCAGGCCTGATAATGGACCATGACACATAGAACTACAGCAATGGGGCGCCACCGGACGATGCGGCTGTGGCCAAGATCTCTTGTGGGTCATCACTTGGCCCATTGGCCCATCATTTCCAAGCTGCAACCACTGATTCGGCGAAAATTATCCGAAAAGGACTTCAAAAACCATTGGATCTTCATTGATTTCAGGTCTATTTACCCAGTCTGATTGGTGGTGACTGGAACCATGGAATTTTATGACTTTCCATTCACTTGGGAATAATCATCATACCAACTGACGAAGTCCATCATTTTTCAAGATGGGCAAATTGCACCACCAACCAGCAGTAAATTCCAACTTTGAAAAATTGGATCGAATGATTTCAGGTGTATTTTCCCATTAAAAAACCATCGGGTAGATCCCCCTCCCTTTTTTCGGAACATCTGGGCGAAGCGTGACTGCTGCCGCTGCCGCTGCCATGGAGACATCGCCGAAGGCTGATCCGCCCCGCACGCCCAGGTGAGGATTCCCCTGTGTTCCCCCAGCATGGTGAGGATTACCCTGGGAAAACATAGGAAAACCCCATAAATAGTGGGATATATACTCATTGGTGGTTTGGAACATGTTTATTTTTTCCATTCAGTTGGGAATGTCATCATCCCAACTGACTTTCATCTTTTTCAGAGGGGTAGGTATACCACCAGCCAGTATACTTGGTTGATTTTGGGGACGATTTCGGACACCACGATATTGAGATTTTGCGAGTTCGTTTATTTTAAATCAACCATCGCATTTAAGGAGGTAGCCATCATTTTCAGACAAGCTGCCAGATAAGTTGGTTAATGACCGGGTTGAAAATCCCATGACATTAGCGCTTGGGCTGGTTTTGTAAGCCAAATAGGCCATGTCATGATAAAGTTACAGGATGTGTCATATTATCCATGTGCTGGTAACTTGCTAAGACATGGTTGGGCAAACTGATTTAGTGGGTGAATTATGTTGGTGTTAAATTTAATGAGGGAGTGTATGACAGACAATTATGGACATGTTCACTGATTTTTGTTTAAATCCTAGTATAATCTATGAAATCCCTGATATCACTATTGGTTTCTTAAATCCCGTCAACCCCCTAAAATCACGATCTGAATGAATTATAATGACCTCACGTCGTGACGTCACTGGAATAATGGTATATTTTTGGGGAAACCACGATAATGACCCACAATTGATATCACATGATATCAAATTGTATCTCTATTATATCCCATCACATTTTTGTTCACGATGTAATCACTGGATATACATGTAAGTACCCACCTCTAGGAAGTCACTATGTTTATTGGTCACTTCTTACATTTATTGTGTCACTGTATCTCTATTTTTTCCCACTACATCTATTGGCTCACTATATTATAATCCATTATTATGATTATGATATCTAATCTCTATTAAAATGATGCCATATCATACATCACTGGTTGGTGGTTTCAAACATTTTTTATTTGAGAGCGGGTAGTCATGGGGGGCGAGGTTGTGAAAGTCCTGATTTTGTTATATTAGTCACTAAATTCAGAATTATATCAGTCATTACATTAATCATAATATTAATCATTGTAATGTTCAGTATATAAGTCATGAAATGAATCATTAGATTAATCATGATATATATCATGATAGGACTCATGATATTAATCATTATATTAAGCATTAAATGTATGTAAAAACATTATAATAGTCACTTTATAAACCATTTAAAGGATCTCTGAACCAATTATATCATTCTATTTATCATTCATTAATCATGATATTATTCGTTATATTAGTCAGTAAATGAAAAAAAAATATCAGCCATTACATAAATCATTATATTAATCATTTTATTAGTCATTAAATGAATCATGAAATGAATCATTATATTTATCATGAAATGAATCATTATTTAAGTCATTGTACAGAAAATTATACTACCCATTAAATTAACCATGAAATGAATCATCATATGTATAATCATTATTTTAGTCATATTAAAAATCATTATATTAGT